GCGTAATGCTTTGGAAGAATATGTTTATGATCTGCGTGCTAAATTGTCCGAAGAGGATCAATTAGCTACATTCATTACAGAAATGGACAAAGAAACATTATGCCGTACATTAGATGATACTGAAAATTGGCTTTATGAAGAAGGAGAAGATTGTCAACGACAAATTTATTCGGAGCGATTAACGCGTTTAAAGGTATTATTCGATGAAATATTAATCATCTAGCAATTTTTATGTTATGTCCGTCTGATCCGTATGTTTGCGAGCTTTTGCAGACACACGCTTATAGGAGACTCTTATCTGTAATAAACAACTCCGTTTAGAAAAAGCAATGTTTAGATTTATTATATTTCATTACAATAATCGCGAAAATCATAATAATATGTTGTATAAGTTTCCTACTTTTTTATTTTTCAATAATTCTTGCTTTATGAAAAAGAGTTTCTAAATGTATCGTTTTCATTTATTAGTCTCAGGGGGAACCAATAAAAGAAAGGAGATCAGAATTTGAGGGAAGATCTTATGCATTAGAAGAACTGGGAGTAACATTACAACTGGCTAAGAAAAGTCTGGATCAAATAAAAATGTCGAACGGAAAGGATGACAAGTATTCTCATTTAACGGAGGAAGAAGTGAAAACAGTTGAAAAAACTGTGCAAGAGAAATGGACATGGTTGGAAGAGAAACGTATTTTACTTGCGAGTACACTTCGCACGCAACAACCACCAGTTACTGTAGCGCAGATTCGGGGTGAGAAACAAGTAAGTATTAAAAAAAAATCAGCTATAATCATGAGCAATTTTCTTTGAATGTTAATTTTTTCATTATTTAGGCATTGGATAGTGTGGTACTACCTATTTTCAATAAGCCTAAACCTAAAGTAGAACCACCAAAGGAAGAAAAACCAAAAGATAAACCTGTTGATGAACAGAAAAATAATCAAAATCAAAATGCCCAAGGTAACAATCACAGTCAATCCAATCAACAGCAGCAACAAACAGAAGAAAAAATGGATGTTGAGTAACGGTCGCCACAACTTATGTGTTTTTATTAATGTTAAATCTACTATAATTGAAATAGGAAGTATTTTATTTGGATAAATCATGTCTACGTTTCGAAAACGCTTGACATGTTGTAGTCTTGCACATACACAATTTTCTTTCCGTTTCATTGTTTTTTTTCTTTGTAACATTTATTAATCTCAAATTATGCTATTTAATGACATACATATTATTATCAATATAAGCGTGTTACGCAGAAACTAAAGAGATGTAAATTTGTGAATTCATGTAATATGCGAAAAAAAATTCTTTTGCTTAACAGCAACTCGTTATGGCATTCGTAATATATATTATTCCAAAAGTGATTTGAATAAATTGGAGAAACATAATCGCGAATTATTAAAGCTTCTTTATAAAGAAGAAAATTGTTTTTCCTTTTTTAAGTTTTTAGTATGCTTTTAAGTGCATAATTGAACTATACAGAATAGATATTTCAAAAGGACTTCGAAAACTATTGCCAGTAAAAAGAATTAATATGTTGCGACTTTTAATATATAGAATGAGTGCTACAGTTTTGTACAAATTAATGTGAACAAATAATTTTTAAATTTATTGAGTAACATTTATCACATAAAAAGAATTTACAGTATTTGTTACAATATTTTAGTATTTATTATATTAAAAAATCTTGAAATAAATACTGTAAATTCTTTTTATGTAAGAAATGTTTCTGAACCTGACAACTTCTTGTTCACATTAATTTGCAAAATTAAGTTAGATATAATTGACTAAATCATGAACTAGATAATTTCTCTCGCTGGCGATCTTATATATTTAATAAAATACAATTGTTCATTCCAACATTTTTGCATAGCCGACAGTAAATACTCTGTCATATTTTTTTGCTGCATTTATGATACTTAAATAAATAAATTTTTTGGTAATTGAAATTATGCTAAATTTGCTTTGATTTTTGAATTAACATCTACAATGATGTTACAAGAATTTATTATAACTTCTTTTTTTAGTTTTAATTAGATTTGAATCGTTTTTAGTGCAAAAATTTCATTTTCTAAAGAATTCTAATTTAACTAGATATATCGTTGTACATAACTTGTAGGCATCTACACAATGACATAATATGTTTATCTCTCACGATATTTATATTGCTGTACTTGCAGTATAGAAAATTCACAAAAATTAAGTTGTTCCTAGAATAAGCAAGATAGGTGATCCATATTTCATTCTTACGACTAACATTGTTCTCACATTGCTAGCACTTAAGAATCGCAAATTATTATATATATATATATACACATATATATGTATGTGTATATATATAGTACAGGTACTATTAGCAAGCTGTAAAAAATGAATGTTAAAATACTTTCCTCTTTTTGAGAATGATAAAAATTTTCACCATATATATATATATATATAAAGCCTTTTCTTTTATTTATATATTTCACACCATCACATTATATTTGTAATACTTACACTTTTACGCTAATAATAAATTAATCATTACATTTATTTCTCGTTTATATACATTTGGTAATTAGTTGATATTACACATTCACAGTGTTATTGAGATATCATGAATCAGATATCGTTTAAAAACTACAATTTACTGTATTTATATAATAAATTGTCACAAATTATCACTTTCTACCTGATAATATATAAATTCGTGTTTAAAAAATTGTTTGCTATTACATTCTAAATAAAAGCAAAATAAACATGAAAATGGCATTGTAAGAGTCAAAAGAAAAGAAAATTAACAACAAATTAATACATATATTCTAAATTAATGAACTTATAAAATAACCTAAATATAACATTAAATAACAGGTGTTAATTACATAACTAGTTTCGACCACCAAATCTGGTTCTCTTCAGATGGAACACTTGACGTTGAAATATACAAAATTATGGAAAAACATCAATACATAAGTAAATCTTGTGCGTAGTTAAATATATAACTGAAAAACAATTGAATGAACATATATTAATTAAAGGATTGTAATTTTAAAATCTAAGAATAATAAATTAACGATGCGCAAACATACCAAAAGATTTACAAATCTATACGTGAAAATATTAGTTGGTCCGTGTATCAATATATTTACAGAAATAGTCATAATGATAGAAGTCACACAATAAGAAATCAATAAAAAAATTATTCTTGAAAACTTATGTCAGAAATATTCCAAAAAACTGTCGATGTACATCTTGAGATAAAATTATACATGGAAAACGTCAAACATCTTCGACGGACCAATTCCGTCCAACTAAATAACGAACGGCAACAACTGATATAGAAAGATCAAATTTTGTTTACAATAGGTATATATGCTTCATGAAGGCCTTCCGTGTCGGTTTGTAAGTTTAAGCTAAGTTTCATAATACGTCTATCATAATACGTTTACCAGATCGGTAATAACTGATCATAGATTGGAGCATAATCATGACTTTCGGTGGGACGATGTCAAAATTCTTGATGAGGAACCTTGTTATAGGAAACGATTGGTCTCAGAAATGTCATCAGTTGTTGCCGTTCGTTATTTAGTTGGAATTGGTCCGTCGAAGATGTTTGACGTTTTCCATGTATAATTTTATCTCAAGATGTACATCGACAGTTTTTTGGAATATTTCTGACATAAGTTTTCAAGAATAATTTTTTTATTGATTTCTTATTGTGTGACTTCTATCATTATGACTATTTCTGTAAATATATTGATACACGGACCAACTAATATTTTCACGTATAGATTTGTAAATCTTTTGGTATGTTTGCGCATCGTTAATTTATTATTCTTAGATTTTAAAATTACAATCCTTTAATTAATATATGTTCATTCAATTGTTTTTCAGTTATATATTTAACTACGCACAAGATTTACTTATGTATTGATGTTTTTCCATAATTTTGTATATTTCAACGTCAAGTGTTCCATCTGAAGAGAACCAGATTTGGTGGTCGAAACTAGTTATGTAATTAACACCTGTTATTTAATGTTATATTTAGGTTATTTTATAAGTTCATTAATTTAGAATATATGTATTAATTTGTTGTTAATTTTCTTTTCTTTTGACTCTTACAATGCCATTTTCATGTTTATTTTGTTTTTAAAGAAAGAGTCCTTTATTTAGTTTATATTTGTCTAAATAAAAGAATCAAATAATGTTTGTTAGTAATGAACTTAGAAACATTTTAATTTAATCTATGTTTGGTAACTTGTTTTGGTAACTTTTGTTCATATTGCAACTGTTAATTTTGAATATTATCAATTATTATTCTATATTAGTAACTCTATATGTTTAATTTATCTTCTGATAGGCTCAAGTTTTGAAAAATTTTTCTCTTTATAAATTTGGAAAACGTTCCAAAACTCGATTCTGTTAATCAAAATATCATTTTATCCTTGGTGTTTACCAAATGAATAAAGATGAAAGATAGTTGGAGTTTGCAAGTTTTGACTTTTGGAACGCAATCTTGAGTAAAATTTAAATAATGGCATGCAACCAGCACAAATTAAAAAATCTTTACGTATAAAGAAAGGAATATGGGCGTCTATCTTCAATAAACAAACAAAATCACCAAAACTTTGTGTTACCATTGTTTTATAAAAGATAAAATTGTACAGATAAAAGTATCTGTTTTATAAAAAAAAAAAAAAAAAAATTTTATACACCATAAATTCATAATTCACTGTACATTTATTTGTATGTAAAAATTTGTAATATTTTAATGTTTGTACGGACGTCGAACAGTATACTGGAAATATGTAATGCATACATGTAACATTTGAAGTTGTGGAATATAAGTTTGTAAAAATTAATTTCTACATTGATTACAATACTTTGCAGATAGTATTGTTAATTTTGGTAAATTACAAATGGCTTTCACTCGATTACTAACTAAAATGAACAGAAAACTATTGTTGATTGTTGTGACAAACAAAAGTTTTACTTTACAATATCACTTAATATTATCCGAGACAAATGTGTTGACTGTGATTATGTCATAAGTGTATGATCACCAAGGTGTACTTAATAATAAAAAAAAAAAATTAATCTCTCTTAACTGCTGGTGTTTTTGATCCATCATGAAAGTATGCTCTGTATATAAAAAGTCCTAAGGCAAAATGTAATACTAGTACTGCAACACCAGCTGAATACACGTTACTTAATACCTCGCTGAAACCTAATATACCTAAACATAAATAAAGCAGTTTTTATTCATTAAGTTATACAAGAAAATAAAATATTCTAAGATATCCATAGAAATTTTACAAAAGAAATATATAAAAAAATAATTTCTTTTGCTAGAGTTATTTGTTCTTGTAAACTTGTGTAGCATTCACTTTGCAATTTTTCATATATATATATACACACAATTCGTACCATCAAATAAAAAAATTTTGCTTGTAAAGAAAGAGATTACAGGTAGCGCGAGTATCACCATACTGTGACAAAAAGCTGTTACAAATGCTTGCAGCTCTGTTACTTCCTAAAACAAAAAAGAAAGTAATATCTACAGTAAACTGATAAACTTTATTTATGAAGTAGGTAAACACATATCAATCTCGAACTTACCTTTGTATCTGACATGATAGCGATTGTAATATTTATTTTATCAAAGCGAAATTAAAAAATTGGTATCGACATAAATATCAGCTTTCTTAGTTAATTCCGTCGGATAAAATTTTATACCAATTCTTTGGATATTATTCCAGCACTTTGATGTGAGTCGGCAAGAACAAGATTATAAGTCCGTCTTCTGTAACTGAACTGGTGTACACTTTTGAAATTTAAAGTGAAACAAACATATGTTTGATCAGGTTTGATATTCATTGAAAGCGAGAAAGAGAATTCTAGTGCAGTCTAGTGCAGGAACAGAAAACAGATCATACGTTTCCAAATAGTACAGGATCAGATCCACCAGAGACGTTGCATGTATCCATAGAATATAGAGACCCAAGAGACCGAACTGGCCTCAAAATGCGTGTTCAAAATAGGTTTCCGAATTGGTACTGGTGGTGCTCGGTAGACGGCGTTTGAATCGCAAGACTCCTCTCATGTATGTACGCTTGGTCGCTTGCGTACAATTCGACACACATGATCTAAGAATAGAGATGTTATTCTTTCAGAAGTACGTAGAGGTTTGTGAAAATATTGATATTTTCAAAAATGACAGGCATTTGAAGTCACACTTGCATTTTTTACTAGAAAGATTTTGTGAAAAACTGTTCATAAAATAAAAAAATTTTTATTTATCGAAAAACCCGTGTACGTACTTCTCTAGATATTTTAATGTATTTGTATGTACATTAAAAAATAATGCATTTTTTTGCTCTAAGTCAAAATTTGTGGATGCTATAGATGTCAATGCCCCCCCCCCCCCAAAAAAACGTACTACTTTCTGTCATTGATAGCAGTGATAGCATCAGTGGGTGCCCATTTTGGATGCATAAGATAAAAAAATATATTTTTGTGAATTTTAATATATGCACTAACTAGTGCTTTAATTTGATTTTATATTAAATTATTTTTTATATATAAACTTAAAAAGAATTTTTTAACTTATTATTTGTTTTTATGCTCAACAGAGGGTGGCCATACCCTTTAAACGACTCTTTTCAAGAATTGGTGGAACACGATTACATTTAAACCAAAAGTTTAAACCAACTTTCATTTTAACCAAAATTTAAGTAAACAGATTATATAATGTCACTAATGATGAAAACGGGGGAAAACAGTTTTCAATTGTACTTATACGTATTCTTCGTGCACTTCTATACACTAAACTTCTACACAAATAAATCCGTATTAAAGTAAAGAACACATAAATTAATCATTCATATATATTTTCTGTTCACCAATAAACTAATTACAATTAAAAAAAAAACATTGATTTACATGCTTAACGGCTCTATTTTCTCAAATAAATTACATTTGTACATACATTTGTATAAATTTGAAATGGCCGCGTTTCGCGTCTAAATGGATGCGCATTTGCGGTATAAATCTAGTGACTTTACCGATTTCATCACATCCCCGAGTTTTCATCGTTTCCGTGTCTCCAATTTCATGCGCCTTGCTTTTATTTATAAAGTTATGTTTGTGTATGTATATATGTAGAATCTTGCGGCGACACAGCTGATTCACCCGATTGTTTACCGGAATAAAAAAAATGAACGACCGTTTGCAATAACGGATGTACCTTGCTCATTGAGAAAGGTCCACGTTGGTGGGATTCTGTTCAAACATGGGATGTTGCTACAGCTTTTGTAAAGAGGATAGCGGACCGCAGGTAAAATAACCGCGAGGAAAAACAGTTTTACTGCACTTTAAATATTTTCTACCTTATCATTGATGCGCGACATGAATCGTCGCGTTAACGCCTACTCGACGATACTGATTACGTCTGATAAACATATAGATATCACATACATTTGTTATAACGATAAAGAAGTTAATGATAGAAATAAAAATATTTTAAGTATTTGTTATAGTTCTTGATATTTACAGGGTGGAGAAGCGAATGAAAGAACACATTTGCTGGTAGATCCTGTCAGTAACAATACAAATGTACCTAGAGTACATAGGTGAGTCATTTCATGTGTTTATTAAGCACAAACATTTTCAGTGTACAACGTAATATTTTGAAATCTCTTAAGCAAGATTAGATTGTATCTTTTGTCTTTTTCTTTCCAGTGACGATTACGTTAACCAATATGCAAGTTCCGTGCCTAAAAAGACAGATGAACAGAGTGCATTGAATAGAATTTTACATGAAACTGCAGCGTGAGTGAATTTTTCCTTGTACTTAATTCTTTAATTTCTTTTATATAATTTATATATTATGTATTAATTTTCTTTATAGATATAATTTTTTAAATAAGAATTTTGTTTTCAATCTTGCGATGCTGCTTTATATCATTTTGTCACAAATTTACTACACTTAGTATTATAAAAAAATATCTCATAACAGTGAACATAATAATGATCGGAAGGAGCAAAGTTTAGCTACAGTTAGTGAAAAAAGTAACTTCAACTCCGTTATAAATGACTCTCGTAGAATAATACAATTTATTTAGTTTTCCTAGTAGAAAATGCTATAAAATAAATTACTCTAAAAATTGTAAGTTAAAAATTTTATGGTTTTTTGCAGCAATGTTATTGATGTGGGCGCTTTAGATACGCATAATCTAGAACAGCATGAATACATGGACAGATCTCGTGCGTATTCAAAGAGAATAGAATCAGGTCGAATTAAATTTCCCGAGGCTACATCTTGCCTACTTAAGGATATACCTGCTCCTGAACGAACATTAGCTGCCGACCCACTTGCTGCTGAAGACGAAGAATTGGTAAATACTTTGCTTCATCTGTCTCACATTTTTTTTGTTATGAGAGCATTAAGTTTGTCGACAATGAAAATAATATGTAAATCAAATATACAGATTACAGAAATGCTCAACAAGGCTGTGACAGCATTAGGCGATGTAAAAGTCGAACACAAGGAAGATTTGGTGGTTCCGTTTCTATCGTGATTGTTAAATGTCCGTCAAATTAATTTATAATTTCACCTCATTTGACTGGAATTTTAACACCTTAAAAAAGGATACAATTGTCAGAAATATATCGACCTAAGTCTGAATTATAATTCTAGCTCATGCTAATTGTAAGACGAAAGATCGATTGTAATGTATTATACAGAATGTTGAATTATTACTGCTGTTTATGCTTGCTACGTATCATCAGTTTCACGATTGTTAAATAGATATATATTTTTCCCTTTTTTATTTTGAAGTTTAGCATTAAGATGTGCGCCAGAATCTTTTGCACATTTTATCTATGTAAAATTTTTATGTAAAAATTGTTATTGTAATATTCTATTGAAAAATACACACACATGCCCGCATATGCGCGTATACACACATACACAGAGTATCCTGTCACTATCGCATGCAAACACTTGATAGCATATTTTTTGGCCAATTGCGAATCTGTTGTTTTCCTAGGAAAATACCAAATAAGATTTTTTATCTTGCCTCTCTTCCACATTATATCTTTAATAAAATATGATATTAAATACAAATTCTATGAAAATAAAATTTATTCAAAATGAATTGATAAATATAATTTTGCCATTTATTTACACCCTTGAAATTTAATTTATAAAACGAAATTTTTGCTTTCAGTTACCAAGGATTTGCTGCTAATTCTAATTTTTCAATTATCACTGCCTGAACGTTTTTCAAAAGAAAAATCGATTCCAAACTGACTAAAGAATGTGCTAATAATTTATGCAATAATAGCAGGATACTTTGTATAACCATATCTTCACATAATAAGAAGAAAAATACTATGTTATCATTGTTCAATAAATTCAATCAAATTTTATGTAACTATAATTTTCTAATTATTATTATACTATAATTTTCTAGTTATTATAATTTTTTTTACTATTGTGAAGAAAGATTTGACGTAAAATTTCTTGCCTTTAAAAACGGCAAGAAATTCGTAAAGCACTTTGAATGACAATATTAAATTATATAAGGTGTTTTATAATGTAACTTAATTATTTATAAATAATATACATTTTTCTATTTTACAGTGATAAATATAAGTGTGACAAATGTTAACTAATTTATAATTAGTAATATATTGATATAGTACTGAATGTACTATATCAATATATTAATGCAAAATTAAGAAGAATGATAAATATTTCATTTGACATACTATTTTTCTGTATTTTTCCAAGCCTTTAAATTTTAGAACTTTTAACTCTAATCATAGTCGAAGACGATAAGTTAAATAGCTACAAAACATTTTTACTTTACATGTGCGCGCGCACGTGTGTATGTGTATACTTTTAAACAGCAAAATTTTATCATTTTTATTAAGAAAAATTCAAATACATACGTTGTTCGATTTCTTTTTCAAATAGAAAAGAAAATCAAACAAAAACTGTTCTGTAATTCGTTGTAAACAGAAAATTATTTAATTTTTTTCACATAATAGCTTTTAATTTTACTTTATTATTTCTTCAAATTCTCTGAATCTCACGATTAAAATATTTTGTTCTCTCTCATCACAGATCTGAATTTGAGATTGTTCAATTGTTTGAAATTGTTCAATTATTGAAAATTTGGAGTAATATAAAAACTATGAAATTGTACAATTAGTATTGATTTTATTAATTTATTGAGAAATTTTTAATTATTACTGTTGCGAATATCGTTAGGAACTTTTAAAATTGGTTCTCATGACTACACTTGTCAACATTATGTTATAATATATGACCTCATCGATGTAATGAACATCTTTGTAATACGAAAATGTAACAAACTTCTGTTGATAAGTACGGTGACAAGATGTATGATATGAATAATTTTGCGAGCGTTTCAGTTGTATCCATTAAAGGCAATAAAATAAATTATTAGTTGGTTAAGCAAATTCTGTGGATCGAGATGTATCTAATATTAATCCCGTATGTACAATTATAATAGTTTAAATAAGAAGGAAAGTCGAGTAAAAAAAATTGTATAGTATTTATTGTAAACAGTTCATTGTTACTTAACTTTATACTTAATTATTTTCCTAAATTGAGATCAAAGCATCCGGCTATATATCTAGTTTCGAATGTAAGATTGAAACTTAAAAATTGTTTTAAACATTCTGAGCATAAATATTAACAAATTTTGAAAAATTTTCAATATTAGTTTTATAATAGTACGGTAAAATGAATTTACAAATAATGATTTATGAGAAAGAGAGAGAAGACGATTTGTTCTTCAAGACAAATCAATAAGAATTTTCGGAAAGTGATGAAATGCAAAGTTTAAACTGCGCGCCTCAGGGGAGAGGGATGAGACGCGTAACTCGATTGGCGGTCCGCATAGAGGCGCGGAGGGGCATCGACCGGTCTTGGATCGGACTGCCATCGGACTGGCAGTCCGCATCTTTCAGTGCCACCAATACACAAGAGCTGAGGACGGTCTTTCGCCGACCATTGGTCCTCAATTCGCCGACCAATTGGGGGAAGTGCCCACGAAAATATCCAATGTAAGTTCACAAATTATCAAACATCAACCCGATACGCGACATGGTCGCGCGCCCACGTTCGCGATTAATGTCGATTTCGCGACCGCGTCGCGTGTTCCTCGACGCGGGCCAGCGCCTACACGGACGCCAAAAAAGCCATTGCCACACGGCCATGTTTGCTGAGGCGATATCGTGCTCTCCCCACGGACGTTCGATGGCGATCGACCAAGTATCCTTATCGCGGTTTCAACGTCCCGTGTCCTCGCGGACGATACGTTTGCTCCGCGGACCGCGGCGTCGGCGATCGCGTCGCTCACGTTGACTCACGCGGATCTCTCCACCGAGACTTCTCGTCTGTTCTCGAAACTTATGCCGCGAAACAACGCGAATCCCATGAGGCGCGCATCCCTTCTTTCATGTACATGCATACTGCACTCGCTCACTTGGCGGGCGACGCTCGCTAGTCGTCTGCTCGCAATTGGCGAAACATGGCTTTGAGATCGCAGACTATACGTCCCGCGCGCGTGAAACCGCACGTGGTCTTATGGTCTACGCTAAGCGAGATGGCCCGTTCTAAACTCGCTCGGCGCGATCGCCACGTCGGTGGATTGCGTCGGATCATTTCTACAATTTCCTCATAAATTCCACGCACCGTTAATCTAATAGCGGTAATGGAAATTAAATGATGATACAGTATGATAAATACAGAATTGTATCAATTCAATGATACTTCCTGTATTTATTCTAGCTGTGATTTTAGCCCTATTTGCGATATATATATCTTAAAGTATTTTGCTAGTTTTTTTCTTTATTGTTATAGAGAGCTAATTTACCATGGAGCAACTAAGCGAAGGACAGACGGTTGTAGTGGGTAGTACTGGTGGGACCGTACAAGTTGTTCAAATGGGCCAAGGTGGACAAACTATGATGCTTCCACAAGCGATACAAGTTGCAGCAACACAAGTAGCGCCTAATGGACAGATTCAAGTTGTTCCAGTTTCTAACCTGACCAACGCTGGTCAGATAGTTATTCAGCAACCACAAACACCACAAATCATTCAAACTCCCGATGGACAGACCTACATCTATCAACCTGTGCAATTAGAAGGCCAAGTGCAACAAGCGCAACCAACAGGTAAGTTGAAAACATATCTTTTTCATGCATTTCTTTCTCTCTCTTTGTATATCTATATTGAAAATAATTTTCAACATCTTTTGTTTTAGTGATAAATCTTAATGGCAATCTCATGCAAATTGCTGGTACAACATCACAGACTGCAACTACTGCCGCTAGTACAACCCCAGTACAACCTTTAGGTAGTCCTACATCAACAGTGTCACAAGGAGGGAATGTTGTCATGGTAATAATTTATAAAAAGTTTTTTAGTTATGTAATTTACAAATAGATGTTTTTATATTATCCCTGTAATAACCATTGATGCATATTTAGCTTAATCAGTTTACTATTAACACAGCAGTTATATAAAATCTTGAAAAAATGAAGATGATGTATGTTTCAACTCTAGTGATTACAGGGACAAATCCGTGCTTGTGTAACCATCAGTTGGCATATATAGAATATTTTATTTAAAGACATCATTAGTGTCTTTATAGAAGGAATATGAGAATAATTTATTTATATCTCTTCCTCAAAAACGCTGATTATGTCTTTAAATGTAACATTACATGTATATGACTGATAGCTACTACTGTGCAAGCACAAATTTGTCCTTCCATCTCTCATCACTGCTCTAGTTTACTGAAAACTTAAACTAAAGCCGAAACATATGTTACTGTTTTTCCCTTCCACCTGTCGTCTATTTTGTTTTTGTTGTATTTTTTTTATCTCGGAAGTCCTTTTATCATCATTACAAGTTTGTCATAATCAAAAATCAGGGCATTGTGGAAAATTAAAGATAGGGAAATTAAGAAAAAGTTATAGGATTTTACGAAATTTTCTGAGAAATTAAAATTTCTTTTCCAAATATGTAATATATTCGTATGTAGTTTTGAAATATTATTAATTTAAATCATTAAAATTGCAATCAATGTCAGCAACATTAATAATTATTTATACTGTTATGTTAAATTAATCTCTCATCAAGGTATCTAATGGTTTCCAAATTAGAACGAAAACACAAAATTTTTGAAAATATTATTGAAAGTCAGGAAAAATCATGAAAATTTTGGAATCAGGGATAGAGTTTTAGGATGAGGAATTTATGATAACAGAGAGAAACCTGAGAGGGAATGTCCCGGCCTTTTTCGTGTATCAAATCTCGAAGGGTAATGTTCACATTTTTGTGATTCTTTTCTGTACTGTTATGTTGGTTAGACAACGACAATAATTAAAGTTGATTGTCCTTGTTTAACCCATATAATATCATAGTATGGAAAAGAATCACAAAAAGATGGATATTACCCTACAAGGTTTGGTACATGAAAAAAAGGCTATGACATCAACTCTCAGGTCTCTTTTTGGCGACAATCTTGTATTAGATTTCTATTAAGATATAAATTTCATGAGAATTAAGAACAATTAATATTGTTGTTGTAATAATTAATTTACTATGTTATATTTTTATAATTAGATGGTACCAAGTAATAGCGGACAAACACAGTTTCAAAGAGTAGCTTTACCTAATGCTGAGCTTCTTGAAGAAGAACCACTATATGTCAATGCAAAACAGTACAGACGGATATTGAAACGTCGCCAAGCTCGTGCTAAGTTGGAAGCTGAAGGGAAGATACCCAAGGAAAGGCCAGTAAGTATCTTTCAATTTTTAAGCTTCAAAAAATAAGTTTTTAAAAATATATATTAAAAATTCGGATTTTCATATTTATTTGAATATTTTGTAGTTTATTTTGTACACTAATTTGTATGGAATTTAAAATTATATGCATTTATTGTATATTATATGTCATCATATTCATTTGTGCAATTTTTGCAACATATATATTTGAAAGAGATGAAAAGAATGAAAAATTTAATTTCAGAAATATCTCCACGAATCTCGTCATCGACATGCGATGAATAGAATTCGTGGTGAAGGTGGCCGTTTCCATTCAGGTCAAGTGAAAAAACGAAAGTAAGTGATTTGTACATACATATTTTTAATACATGTTTTGCAAAAGAATAAACGGTGTTTCATCATGGTAATTTTACGCATACAAGAGTATAATGGTTCTAGTAGAGCAAATGCAAACTACACGATTACCCAGCACATCACATCCTCAACCAGCACCGATAACGTTCATACTGTAGCTATAGCAGCTGCAAATGTAGGTGTACAATATCATGACACAGACAATATGGCATCTACAATTGTTCTTGAAGTAAGATAATAGTTTCTATTTTCTAAGCAGAGTCGTTTGTGATTTTGCAAAAATGCAAATTACATTTGCCGTTTCTAATTATTTGTTGCAGAAGTCAAATGTTTCTCTGCAAGATATGATCTCTGATGACGACATTGTTACCTCAAACAGTCATTTGATGTAGATAAATAATTTAAATTGGACTGAAAAAAGGTACAAGATTTATGTGTCAGTGATTATATTGAACATCTACATTTTGTATGTGTAAATATTCTTGGTGCGATGTATAATATAAGTGTAATTTTTCGATATAAAACTGTAAATATTAACATAAAATATTCTAGATTATAATTTACTTTAAATTTCTCAACGGATTTTTAGATATTTTTAAATAATTAGTAATACAGATTCTATTATTGCAGAATAAATTCCATTAAAATTTATAAGAATAAAAATAGAGAATAAGAATATTCTTATCATTATATTGTAGTAGATGATATATTAAATTTATTATAAAATGCCTACTTTTTATGTTGTGTATTTTAACAGTTAAAAGGCTAAGTTTTATTCGAAATCAATTGCAGAATATGAAAAATGATTGCATACTTAATGATAAGTAATATGTAACATTAAGAAAAAATATATGGTATTAAATAAATCGAAAATAAATAATTATGGCGTTCAAAAATTTTTTATACACACACACGTACGTATATTATATATGTATATAATATACACACATAATAAGATAGTATTTTCATTTTTATAATTTTACTGTATTGAAATAGACAATTGAGTTTGAGTTTGTAATACAAATAAATTAAATATTTATATAAAATTAATTAAGCACAATAAACTTTAAGTTAGGGATGTAATTTTATTAGAATGAAAATGCATTTTTTAAAGTTAATAACTTTATTAAATTTCGTGAAGTCTTAACATTGCTGATAAAGTATCTCATAATTCACAAATCATTTCTTACGAGCAAGTAAAACTAAATTGAATCGAAAAGTTCTGTGAATATTACGATTTTTGCTATAAATGAGAAATTTATTAAAAATCCGCAAATCAGCGAGGGCTTTGTAAAAAAAAATTATTTATAGAGCTTTCTAGTTTCGCACGCCTAACAATTATAAATGCAGGGCTATTTGATGTCGCGGAATCAAACGGACACATGATGATTTGCGGATATTTACAGTATACATTTACAGTATTAATTTTTCAGAGAATGCATAGAATTTTTAATTCAATTTACAATTATTCTATGTGCCCACAAAAGATGATCCGCGTTATAAAACATGAATAATATATCTTTATATAACTATAAATTTTTATCGCAAGCATAACATCATGTAATAACCAAACTCGATTTTTTATATTTAACTAGTATTTAATATATTACTAAAATTCGAGACATTTACATTTACATTTTTATATGTATATATTTTCCATATATCTCTAATTAGGGAATGGGAATGTTGATTCCATAATGGTTGGCAGTTCCCAAAACAGATCAAGATATATTAGCTCTGCCAAGATTGTTTTCTTTACTTGTATAATTTTATTTATTAAAAAATTTTAAACTTTTTAAATTAATCTCGCAAATATACATTAAATCATAAGTAAGTACACTTTTTAAATATATAAGATAATTTGAGCAATAAAAGTTATAATGATAATTATACATGTAAAAATGTTTAGCGAATCTGTTACATATGGAATACTAAATATTTATATTAATTGGAAAAATTTTTGTAAAATGACATTTGGTTTGAACATATAAATAATTATATGAAAAATGAGCTATACAAGTAATATTATGATCTAGCATTCTTGTGTATTGATATGACTGTGCCTACATGTGTGCATGCGTGCGTACGTACGTGTGTGTGTGTGTTACATACTACATACGTATATACATATATATATATATATATATATATAGCTATAAAAATTATATCTCAAGTAATTAATTGATTTATTGAGAAATCATATGAGATTGAAATTGAAAATGTAATTATGGATATATAATATGAATTCAATTTTTCAACAACTTGCACTGATTTTATTATTAATATATTTATACTATTATTACTTTATATGTAATCTCCCTCGTCATATAAATCTTGAGCTCGCTTGTTATAAAATATATATTATAAAACTGTAATTTAAGAATAATTTGGAATATTTTCTTAAAGAGATTTAAGTTTGTTTTCATAGCTATTTATAAACATATCAATTCATATTTAAGATCTGTTCAATGAGTTTTGCAATCCATATGTGTGATCTCTCATACTTGATAAGCTACGTAGCATGATGTTTTCTCCTGTAATCCCGATTGTGCCAATATATTCGGAATGTCCAGTTCTGGAAAGAAAACAGTATTTTGAAATTTTATTTCAAATTAATATATATAGGTATTGCGTAATTTACGTACGTCACTCGAAGGATTTCTCTTTCTTTAGGATTAGGATCCAAATTATTGCGCGATTTAAAAATTTTTGATGGTTTTATCAATGCTTTCGTTGCGATTATCCATGGATTTCGATATGCACGTCTTTGAATTGTTTCGGGTATAATCCAATTTTGCGGCAGTATTATTTCCCTGCGACGATAATCTGATTGTGATAAAATATTCATTTGTAATGATATAATATCGAAAGGTTAAATAAATAAGTAAAATTAAACGGTATTTTTTGCTCATGTAATGTCCGCTGTTTTTTTTTCCAAAGATATAAATATCAATATAATATCATGAGAGAATCCTCTAAAACCGATTAAATTATATAAAATTTTTGTTTAACTTTTCTTCTTTTACAAATTCGAAAATATTAGGTGTGTACAAATAAGTTTTAAAGCGTTTTTAACGAAAGTTAATATTTATTTATTTAGAAACGAAAACGCATTTAATTATCAAAATAACCCCCGTCATCTATGACCTTTAGCCATCTTTCGGGCAGCTTGCGAATTCCAGAAACGAAAAAGGTTTCGTCTTTCGATACAATAAAATTATTCATCCATTTTCGTACTTCTTCAAATGCTCGAAAGTGTACATCGAACAAGGTATTTTGCATTGACCGGAATAAATGATAATCTGAAGGGACTATGTTTGACTTTTCTGAAATTCCGTTTTCCAGAATTCCGACTGTTATAAGGAAGCATCCCAAAACGTCTTACTACAACTAATCATCTTTAAAATCTGCTTAAAATCTAAAAAAAAGCTCAGGCAACAAAAAATCCAAAATCGTGACATGAAACGTCTTATGTCTCGTTTTCGAGTATGCGTGTTGTCTGCGGAAGATAAACCTAACAATTCATAGATTTTATACACATGGATGTGACTGTTTTTATTTATGGATCCATAAGTAAATCAATCTCTGAATAGATTGCATTCCGAAACTCATTGCAAAAAAGTGTTGCAATGTTTTAGTCACTGACTGTCCATGGAGCTATATACGTGATGTTTATTGAAGGAAAAATAGCGATTTTTTTTTCATTCGTAAGTACTTGATAAACGATTATGTTTTAAAATGTAATAAAACATAATTGAAATTTATACATATTTCAGTGTGGTTACACAGTTAAAATAAAATTAAAAATAAAAATACAAATAAAGTCACATAATCGGTAATATAAATATTCAAAACAATTATAATATTTTAAATTTTTTAACGTGATCGAATATTTCGCTTGCAATTCCTCTACTATTCATTCTCGGATGATAAAAAGTTTTAGTTGTAATAATTCCACTTTGACAAATGTCACTTTGCAATTTCGGTGGACATTAACAGAATTTTATCATTGTCGTCAGTAAAATTAAATTTAATTGTTAACCATATATAAATTTTAAAATCAATGTGATAGTTAAAATAAAATGAATAAATAAAATAATATACCATATACTTCTCTTTTAAATAAATTTGACAAGATTACAAAGTTGTTTCTCTTAACTATCACAAAATAAGACTTAACTGTTTAAAGGTAAAGTGAAAAATTACACAGTAGAAACATGAAATGGAAAAACATTATGAAAAGGGAAAAATTGAGTGGGAAGGAAATTTACTCACTTTTGTTATTTTTATCTCATTTCAAGATATGTACATAATCGACTCTTGATTATAGCTACAAGGACATTTATAAAATCTATAATACAACTGTACATGTGTGCGGGCGCGCGTACACATACACACAAAAAGGTTTATACACGGATTTAAATGTTGGGTTTGTATTCCTAATAAGGTACGATCTACTTGGTGCCGAAATTCTTCAAAGTATTTTTGGCCAGTAAAATTCTTTTTCCCAACTTACCAATCAAATGCTTTTAAATATTTGTAGGTTTTATCAAGAAGAAACAAAATAGTCATGTGATACTTTATCGTATATTTGTGGTATCTAATCTACCACCGTTTCCGAATTAACGGCCTTTATGTGTTTGTAACGTACGTGCATGCATGCGTGCGTGTATATACAATACATTTACACGTATACAGATATAATAATTGTAAGCAGTGAACCTTTTCGAAATTCCTTCGAATAATCCTGTTGATATATAGTCTTCATTGATTTTTCCTTGTTGCTTTTTATCACGATCTCATCTGGTACGATTTCTGGTAGAGCATTTCTTAAGTGGGGAAATTTGTCTCGTATCTATTTTCAATGATATTATGATAGTATACGCAATCACGACTATAAAAAAATTTGTATTCTTACTCTGTTTAAATTATCAACTGGATCTTCGCTTCGTTCGTTCTCAGGTAGTAACCGATTTTCCAAACGTGTCTGCAGATATTGTTTGTACGGTCTATTCAAGATGTTCGAGGATGGCAAATATTTTGGTAATAATTTGTGCTTCGTTGTCCTTTTACCTCTTTTTTCAAGATAATCTCTCTTGTAAATCGTCACAAAATCTCGTAAGTCATCAATATCTTCAATTTCCATCACGTGAATTCGAGCAATTTATTTTATAAAGTCTGGTAAACAATTTTTTTTTCTGAAAAATTGTAAATGTTGCCAGAGGAATTATTTGCCGTGTCCAGCAATCGTAATAACGGTAGTGCAATTGCTGATGTAAGCATCAGTCCAATGTGTTCGATTATATTAGTGTGATTCAATGAATTTTCTTCATGCAGAGTATTGCAAGACAATAACGTTTTAATTTTGCTGAATGCATACACACGACGTCACAAATTCTTTAATATACGAAGTTGCATTTGTGTATTGAAATAATCGGAGCATATTCAGAGTCTCTAGATATCTCTGCATTATGATTATTGATTATTCGATACAATTGCCCTAATATATTTCAAGATTATTTTGGAATATCTTAAATAAATAAATTAAAAAAAATTGTTTTAGAGTTAAAATATGTGAGTATAGCTAGAGGATATTGTATTTATACAAGTTACATATACACACACATATTGTATATATTTATATATATATATATATATTTATATGTATATTACATTATATGAACACATATACATTTATGTCATATTATACATGATATAGAAATATGTAAAGAAGACGTTTGCATTATGCTGCGCTCGCGCAGTCATATATTGATACTAATATAAAAATGATGTAGTTCAAAGTTGCTGACGTAAAGCCGTGTCAATATGTTATATCTGTTTGTATAAATAATATTACTTGTAACATTCTTGTCACTCGTGCAGCTTTACATCTACAACTAAGTTAAATACTATGGTTTGTTAACAAATATATGTGTTAATAAATAAATAAATGTAGGTTTTTATTAATAAATACAGTGATATCATTTTATAATGTTTTTCAATTGTTTATAATATGTATTTAATTTGTTATATTAAAAAATCATATAAAATATACTGGTATACTAATCGTCTTGTGACAGGGTTTAGGACCATCTTCGCAGACTATAATGAAGTCTCCTTGGTATCTTGTAACTCATTATGTGGATAACGTTTATTAGCTGATATATCGTACCTTCGGGTACTATAAACGCCAATTAGGATATAACATCAGATTTCTTGCTTATATCGCTTCATGAATGTATCTTTTCATTTCTTCCCCCATTGCTCATTTTCGTAGGGAAAAGTGACTTTTTTGGGGACAGGATCAAGTATCCACATCATTATTGGAAATTGTATTGACTAATATTTTATTCATCATATACATGTCCTCTTTTTCGTATATTGTAAACATTATTTCTATACGTCTGCAGTATTGAATATTTCTCGTATTCGATCTATCTTGTTTAAGAGAATGAAAAGTAAAAAAACCTCGCGACATTTTCATTATGAAATAAAAAATTAATAAAACATTACTTCTTTGTTTTGTATTATTTTCTTTTTATTTTATTTAATATATAATTTTAACAAATGTCAAATTTTTCTTCTAGTCTTTTAATTTTATTCCTCTACAGTAATATGTGCTATTAAAGGTACTATTAAAAAGTTTTGAAAAGAAAGTAAAAAGTATTGTTTAATAATTTTATGATAATGACATTTCGTGTGAAGAGAGAGAAAATGCTTTTGGAAAATAATATTGCTCTTTATATAATGTCTTATATAATGTCAAGACTTTTATTTCCAGGATTATAATTATAATTCTGACATTAGTGTGTATTTTACAATTATTAATAAAATGATATAATTTTTTGTGTGCAATTTACAACGTCAAACAAATTGAGTTAAAAGCTCAATTGTTTTGACGTTGCAAATAATGTTGAGAATATTAATTTCTAAGACAGAATTTCTATTAGAGAGAAAAAATATAGGGATACTATGATAAATATCTCATATATATGTATGGTATACTTCAAGGCGTGTTTTCCTATAACTTTTCGACACTTGTAGTCGACTGAAATTGAATTGTTCTTAAGTAAACGTTGCAAGTTTCCATTGACGCAAAAGCGTTTATGGTTACGTGATCAAAGTCACGTGTTCTGAATAATGGATATTGTCGAAAGCAACTATTTCATTATACTTCCCGTACGTGGTTTATGCAACTTCGCAATTGTAACTCTTGTGTAGTAAATTTTCCGAAATTTAGAAACTTATAATAAGGAAAGCGAATATTTGACAATGAATTTTTACCTAAAATTACATTGATGTTGCATTATTCCGTAAAAAAAGAAATGCATCATATTCTTTTAATCTTGCAAGAAAACATAAAGATATGAGAAATTAAAAGCATAGCAGTATCGTAATTTGAATATATGTATAATATAATTTTAAATTATTAAATAAAATACATAAAAATTTTAATTATTTATAAAATGTACACGAAGATCTTTTTATATTAAAAACTGCGCAAAATATTACGTCTTTTTAAAATCCCTTTGGAATGAGAAACGGAGAAAGACTGTACGCATATAATTCTTTTACCCTCGGTACAACTCTGTAGTTTAAATAAATATATTTAGTTAAATTGCAAATAACATTCTCCTTGATTTTCATAATTATCTCTGTCGGAAACTCAAGCAAACAAGATGGATTATATCTAGGAAACAATTTTTATTAAATTTGTATTCAATGCTAAATCTAATGAATGGACAAATTACAGTGATTTATAAAATTGCGTGTCAAGGACGAGCACATTGAACTAATTATCCTTTTATTACACGAGAAGACGCGTCTATTGGTCTATATTTGTTTTATCTAGTTGGACTAGAAGCCATTATATCGACGTGAATACAGTTTGTTTGTAAAAGACGAATATTTTTTAACAACTGTCTTTTACAACTTCACACAATTTTTAATTATATATTTCTCCTTTTTTATTTATACAGTAGGATCTGCAATATAAGTGATAAAAATATCAGTGATAAAAAAAATTTTAAAACGGACACTCATTAGGATTAATAGCTGTCAGACTACGAATGATAATAACGTAAAATATAGGATTTAATTATTTTGAAAAGTCACTTTATGCAGAGAAAAAATATTAATACAAGTTAGATAAAAAATATAAATATAAATAAATTAAGTTAATGAGCATTTCCTTTTGGAATTTCTTGTAGAAAAATAGAAAAAGAGATTTAATATAATAAGTAAAAAAATCATAAAATAAAATAATCTAATAATAGAGGAAAGCTACCGATATCAACATACATTTTTGTTTTTGGACAATATTTAAACAAAAATTACAAATAAAACGTTAGAAACATAAATACAAAGTAGAAAGTGTCTTCTATCAAATATGTAGTCGTTTTTATAATAGTGTTTGCAATTTTCTACAATTAATGTTTTTGTAAGATAAGCAAAAGCATTTGACAAAATGAGTATCAAAACTGACACAGTAGGCAGTAATTCCACTTTTTCCAATTTTTTTTTCACAGGATCTATCTGTACAAAATATTTACAAAACATTTTCTCGAATTTTTGCTTCGATATAAAATATTTTTTGTTGATTTATATTCATACTTGGACATGTTCAGATTCCTACCCAAGTGCTTTTCAGATATCATATTATCTTTGTTTAACATTCAGTGAACAACAGAAATAAAATGATACCTGGCATTCGGGTGAAAATCTAAACACAGTCTTTTATGCTGTTCTGCGAGTAATGCGTGATTTTTCTTTTTAAGGGTTTTCCCATAAATACACGATTGTCTTCATATTTGATAGGACTATTTGACATTATAATGTGCATTAAAAAGATTAGGTCAGCTTGATAAACTTTGGATGCTCTCACGGAGATGCCAAATGATATCAGCGCGCTCTTCACCCTGATGAAGTGAATGGCAAAGTTAATGCTGAACGTTAACATTATCAATAGACCATGACCCGACGATAATCCGCAAACTCTTTTAACCATTTAAACACCATTAAGTTAACTTACGGTTTGTCTTACAGACAGATGTGCCGATTTACGCTGTGTGTGTGTTTTATATTTAAAGCTATTGTATTATGAAAAATCAGAAAGAAAAGGTGACTTAGGAAACTACAAACATATAAAACAATATAATATTATCAATATATAATGTTATCAATAATCATTATTATTTAAATTACGCAATTTGCAAAAAAATTGTATACGGATTTTATTTTCGCATTTGCAGAATTTGTGTTTAGCTGATTTCGTAGAAACAAATCACAAATATTATACCATAAATTTTGAATTTTTATTTTTTTATTATCTGAATAGATTACGTTTTATTAGTAGTAATAATGTTTTCTTTTCTTCTCCCCGAGAAACAGAGAGATGTTCCTTAGAAGAGAGATCTACGTCAGTAATCGATGTCTTTACTTTGTAGTAAATGTCTAACATATCTTTTGTTTTTAGCTTAATATTTAATTTTCAATTTCTTAGTTTTTGTGTTTAAAAAATTGTAAGAGAGAGAAAGAGAAAGAGAGAGAGAGAAGAAGAAGGAGGAAAAGTCTAGAATCTACTAGTTGCTCTGCAACTAGTTGCTCTCTCTCTTATACAAGAGTATGAGTTCGTCGAAAGTGTGAGCTAACAGTAGCCGAAAACGATTTTATTCTTCCGTCCGCTTGAAGGGGATGTTTCTGTAGCACACGGTCAAACAATGTATATTTGAGCGTGCGTGGTAGAGAACTTTTCGTCCGATCCAGAAGTCCAAGCTCCGCTTCTACATGTCTCGTGGGGGCGCATCGCCACGCCTTCCACGTCTATATAAACGCTACGGTTGCAGTGAAACCCTCACTCGCACCCCAGTACGCGGTGGTGATCCAAGGGTGAGATTCCTTCTCGAGCGGAAGCAGCGGCACAGACTTTACGTTTCACTTCTACCGAATTTTCGTAATCGCGAACTGTGAGCCGAGCGGGCACTGGTCGTGAGGCATGAGGTCCTGGTTACTATGGTTGTTTCTTCTGTTGGTCGTCTTGGCCGATAGGAGCTTCGCTAATCCTTACTTCGATGATGGTGGTGAGTCCGAGTCTAATTCTTTTTTACGCGTTAATGGAAAAGTTACAAGCTACCTCTGTCAAATATCAAATATATCGTAAGAGCTCAGAAAGCATTTTGAGAACGTTGAAAAAATTTTGAACGTTTTTACGATGGCTTTGATCTTACACTTGCGTTTGGTGTCTGGGTCTATTGCTCTGATATATAAATTCGAGTTATTTAATGTCCACGTGTACGAGAGTGACTAAATATTTGTCCATTCATGACCAATATATTGCAGATAACCCGATTTTTTATGCATTCGATGTATGATGTGTAAGTACTAGAATAGATGATATAGTATAAAAAAATTGTAGATATTTATTTTATGATATTTATTTTTGTTTTATTTTTTTGTTTTTATTTAAAAAAAAATTTTTTTATTGTTGATATTTATGATTGCAACTTAAACACCCTTTTTGTAAGCACCAATTAAGAAATTTTTATTTAGAAAATGCAATTAATATTTTCATTACGTATGTATGTAAAAAGAATAAAAAAACTCTATTATTGCTTAAAAAAAAAAAAAACATTGAAGCTCTTCTAACTGGATTAATTTTTTGTTTACTTTGATATCATTAATGGATAAAAAGTTTTCGGTAGAATACTTTTATAATTATAAAACATTACCTTTCCATTTTTTGTAATTTTTAGGATTTTTTAGCTCCAGGCTAAGTGTGACATTAACCATTTTTTTTGTGAAATATTTTTTTAACAGAAATCGTTTTTTATTTTTAAAATATCGATGGTATTGTCTACTGTGCACGCGCAATAAAAATAACTCGTATACACTGTCGAATGTTGTCGAAAATAAATATATACGTTGAGGTTAAACAAATTGTAACAATATAATTTACTTAAAAAAAATTGTTAATATTTTTCTATCTTATATTATCATTTTTTAATAAAAATTATATACATATATAATATACAATATATATAAATGAATATATATAATATATTATGTCTATAACGTAATATAAATTCTTATGTAATGAAATTAATATAAGAATTTATATTACGTTATACACTGAGAAAAAAGGCTGCTGTTAAAAAAAATATTAGTTGATTTAACTAAATACTGCAATCACACGAGCTGTCAAGCAAATATTTGTTAATTCAAACAAATAACATGTTGAAATGATGATTCATGTATATTTAACTGAAATATATAAATAATTGAACTAAATAATCACTACGAATTAAATGCGTTTAGTCGAGGTAACAACTTTTATCTCAGTATATGTATCAATATATTATATACGTGAATATAAATTTAAATTATAATTAACATAAGTAAAAAAACTATCATAAATATTTTAATTAATACTTTGTTTCATTATACATTAATTACGCATTTTTTATAAAAGTATTTATAAAATACCTAAAATTATATATATTCATATGTCAATTATATTACAATAATCTTTAAACATAAATTTTGACACTAAAATTATAACACAAATACTGTATACTTTATATAATACGTGAATAAAGTTTTCTTAAAAATATATATCTATATATATATCTCTAACTTATATATCTATATATGTACAGCCTTTTTAAAAATATATCTTTAATAAAGCTTTCGTGAAAATACATTTTACGAAATACACAAATGTTATATATTACAAATATCTATTCTATTAGAACTAAAATCTATAGAAAATTTCGTTGAATAGATTTGATATAGTTTTCTTACGGTTTTTTTCATAATTAAATTTTTTGAACCGCATTATAATTTTGAACCAAATTATATATATAAAAATTATAAGAGAGAGTTATTGGTAGCTTTTAAAATTATACAAACTTTTTCAAAGTTATTTTAATATTGCAGACTTTTTAATTGGTACTCTAATCTATTTAACGTTTTGAAATTAATGGAAGTGACTTTAAAGATATTAAAACTTATAAATTTATAACAGCGCTTTTGCTCGCCAACGTTATTACAGTATATAGAAACTTGTTGAGGTTTAAATTGTAATATAGATATATTAAGTTTTGTTAAGAGCAATTTGTTATGCGTTTATTACAGTACAAATTTGTAATAATTAACATTACAAATTGGATATTTGTGCCGATAAGTACGATTTATACGGTTGACAACAGTGGATACAAATTAAAAGTTACGTAAAAATATTTTAAAGCAAGAATTAAACGAATGGAGATATTTTTATAGAACAGTTTGATTGAAGAACCGATTAGATTCGTATCATGCTAAGTCAGTCGGATAGCAGACAGTGCAAGTGGAATAGGTTCATCCATGATCGGACGCATACCGATTACATTATGGTATGCGTTAATTTATTCTTTTCTCATCCTTTTTCTAACTTAGTTTCACTTGCTGAATCCGAGAATGATAATTAAAATAGTTTTAGTATTCGTAAAATATAGCAAAAAATACTTTTTGAGATACATTCTAATAGATAAAAAGGAAGATTGATTTTATCATTTTGTCGAGTCATGTATATGACAATTTCTCTCTTTGTTTATATAAAAATTGTCGTTTTTAATTAAAACTAATTGTTATTAAAGTCATGACTTTTGCACTATATATTCTGTTATAACTTTATATCTGTTTTGCAAATATGAGCTTATTTATTAACTTTTTATTGTTTTTATATTTGCAATTTGTCTTTATTTTTTTTTGTTTTTTTATTATGCGCGTTCAGATTTCCATTCAAGTTCGCTTTCCACGTATCATGTCCTTATTTAACAGTCGGTGAGCAATAAGAATAAAATGACATCTGGGTGGCACTTGAGTGGAAATCTGAACACAGCCTTATATTTATACAATTTTTTAAAATTCTTTCTTAATTTCTTTCAATAAATAAAATTTGTAGAAATTAAACAGATATTGTACATATTTAATCTACAAATAGAGATAACATTATTTAGAAGGAAAAGAAACTATGTTTCGTTTTATTAGCTTTAACTTTTTACCTTTGCGTCGAATTTTCTTGTGTAAGAGTTTTACAAATAATATAATGAGACTCTTATCGTAATAATCTTAATTAATCATAATTTTCTTCTATATAAAGCTGCACTGCAGCAAAAATAAAAATTTGCGTTAATGAAAATGGAACGATAAAAAATTGTGAATATGACTTTTTCTTTTTTTTTATAATATAAGTTTTATAATTAGGTAGTTTAATACTTTAATTTTGTAAATTTTATTAAAAGTAGGTAAACATTATGTATAATGAAAGTTTTATTTTTCTCGATTGTGTAATTTTCAATGTATTAAATTACTGTTGAAGTGTCTTCTTTGTGAATAAGAGCTGTATCTATATTTTGCTGATAAGTATGTATAAGATAGCTTTGTATAATTATATAACTTTGTTTAATATTTTTTGCTCGTTCAATTCATATAAAATCTGTTTACGTTTCATACAAGTAGCTGTGTCATATTTCTAGGGAATATTTTAAAATTTATTCATACCAAAAGACAATATTATTTCTCTGTCATAATCATCGTGTACTACATATCGAGTTAAAGAAATACATCAAGATTTCGTTGTTGATATTGCCTTATAAAATGTATGTAGTAGAATTTCTTCTAAGATATGCTTTTTAAATTCTTGAATCATTGATTGTTTTTAATCTATGCTAGTATATGATCGCATAGTTTGACAAAATACTTTCTTTCTTTTTGAAATATAATGTAGTACATATTTCGAAACAATTTTTGCGCTGAACATAACGCCATTCTCAGAATTTATGTAATTGTAAAAAATAACATTTTTTACGTCCTTTCATCTCAATTTACGTTATCTCACTAAAAAAATCCTGATAATTTACGTAAATTCTGACAATGGCATTGCGTTCAACGCGAAAATATTTTCAGGATATTATCCCTATAAGCAAGACACATTTTAAAACATTTCAGCAGCATTTCAGCAACATCGTAATGTTATTTACCGCCGGGGTGGCATTTTGGAGAGAATTCAGTGCTGAATCGTGTTCATACACAATACGAGTCTTTTCCACCAGCAAAGAATACTCTTGATTTTCTTTGATATATTAGTCCATGAATATACATGCTTATATACATATAAATGCTGTGCATAAATTGAAAAAAAGTTCTGCAGATTATACATTAAAATGAATCATTCATTTTACGCTTGCAGAAGATGTAGATGATCTTCAAGTTGATGACTCCTCGGATTATACAGACAACGCTTTGGAGAATCTGATGCGAGTAGCACAAAAGTGAGTGGATTATCTTACTTCTCTGTTTTTACTTTCCTACGATTCTCCTTAACGAGCTCTTTTCCAAGATCTTTGAATTACATCTTTTCCTTCTTCCCTAACTGACTGTTACGAAAACTGTGTTCATTTTACGAACGTCGAAAACAATTATAAAGAGATGTGTATCAGAAAAATAAACATTTAAGGAACAATTAATTTTTCTAAGGAAAAAATTATTTTTTTAGTATTTATTGTCAATACATACGCGTATATATGTATGTGTGAGCGTGACTGCGCGAGACACCAATCGACAATGCGATTTTTTGGCCCCTCCCTTGATGTCTCGGTGTTGTGAACAGCATTTTTTCGATTTCCCTAATCTCGAGTAGACGTACCCCGTCGATAAACTTGTTTAGGCGGGCTTGCATAAGGCGTGGCGGCGATTGTTACCACCGACGGAAGGACTGCTGCTACAGCTCCAGCTGCCGCTGCAATCTCTGGGGTTCTAATTGCAAGTGTCAACGGATGGGTCTCTTTCAAAAGTGGGGCTAAACGATATCCTCTCTTTCTCTCCTTTTGCCATAAATCTAATTTCTACATTTATGCGTCTTATTTCTTATATATTTTCTCTTTTTTCTTTTTACTCTCCGACCCTCTCAGTCCCTTTGAAAGTCTATCCCGACAATGGTATCCCCGATAATGTCTTTAAGTATATTTGAACGATTCTCCCGTACAACTTGACTCACTATCACTCGATGTATCTATCTCGGGGAAATTCCATGTTTTCAAGTTGTGCGATTTGCATTCTTGATTAAAATAAAGGCCTCAATGATACGCTTTGACATCTTTCTTTCGTGTATTTGTTAGACTCTTTTAATAGAGAGAGATATGAGGGATTCTTTAAGTTATGATATCATAATTGGCAATACCTTGAAAAAAGTTACTCACTCGGAAATACACTATTTACATTCTTCTACAATATCTGTAGATACAGTCTCTCAATGCAGTTTCCCAATGCAGTTTATAACTACCTCTCTCACGATATTTAATGCTCGGGATCAACTGTGTTGACTAATCGATATGCTTAGCGATTCCCCTTCTCTTTCTAGGTTGTAGACTTCTCTGATTACAATGTAGGTAATGCGAAAATTATAATTAATTTGCATTGATCAACTTTAATGCAACCGGTTCTTTAAAAAAATTACATCTATACATATATGTGTGCGTACACACACATATACGTACTTATTACAAAATTTACTATTAAATATAATGTTGTTTTTTATCCGATATTACATTTATTTGTATATTTTAAATATATCTTTTTTTTAAATATTCCCTCAATATTCTTCTCCCTAAACCCCACCTTGGATTTTCCGCCGTTCCATCTTCATCAGTGAAGGTCATCATTGAATTGGAGCCAGAAATGCACACTATGGCGAATGCACACTGCATTCAAAGGACCTTGACTCGCACTAATCAATCGTTCCTTCAGCTGCAGTTCATCGGATCTTCTGGATAAAATGCGCGAGAAATAAAGATATATTATATCATACTTTTCAAGTTCTCTATTGTTTTGTCTCACTGCTAGCGAAGTATCTGCAAATAAAATTATTATTCTTACAATTATTATTACCATTATTTTTATTCTTTGTATAAAATACAAATTTCTTTATTTAATATCCTCGAATAAGTTCTGATTTCTATTTAAAATATATGTAAATGCAATATAATGAGAAAAATTGTCTTTACTTTATGACAACAATTGTGACAACTCCCATTATAAAAGTGTTTTATTTATTTTTTAAATATATAAATTTTAAATTTAATTTTAATGTAATAATAATATAAAATATCATGAAAAATTATACGTGGTAATTAATATGTTTATATTGACACACGTCAAATAGTCTAATTAGTTTTGATTCTTCCATATTGCGTTATTCCTTTTGGTGATCCTTCCGAATGTTCACTAATTGCAAAGGATCTGTAATTTGATTATCATTAACGATAAAAATATAGAAAATCCTGACGATATTTATTGCAAAAAATATAACTTTTTTTAGTTAAGCTGAGCTAGACTCAATTCTCATGTTTTCGGGACTTTGTAATCCTCCTGGATAAGACAAAAATTGGAAAAGTTATCTAGTTATCTAGAAAAGAACGAGATACGTGATAAATTATAGGAATTACTGATTGGAGATATCTCTCCGACCACTTTCGCCTATCAGATCGTCTTCCTTATAACTTGTTAATCATTGTGCCGTCAATGATTGCGATAGGATAATTACAATTGATGTAATGACAGATTTCTTCGGGATATGATGATCAAGAAGGAGGAATTATTGTAGTCAAAACAGATATTTATAATTAATATGTGTTTTTTAACAAAATAAAATGATTACGATTTATCTAAAAGCAAACTTTAATAATATGTATAGGTTACAGATGATCCGCAATTTAATTTCCCTATACCGCATCTTAAACTTTCAACGTATTACCTACATGTATGATTATAAAAGAAATATTAAATAATATAAATGTTTATGCATTGTATTTAAAGGTGGATGTACACGTATATTGATATATCATGGAAATATAATATATATTATATATATGTATATATATATGCGAAATGTGTATAATTCTCTTTTATTATACGGCCCTAGATCATTGATAATTTAATTTACAGTTCTTTTATTTTAAAGAGAGAGTGTGTTACTTTCTTAATCTCTCATATATACTCAAGCTAAATAAAGTATAGAAATTAATGCTTTTTTGGATTTAGTACCAGCATAAATAATTAACATATATATATATTAAAGAATTTTATGTCTTAAAATTATTAAGATTTTCAATTTTAAATCATCTATATTTATTTTAATTATTAATAAAAACTAAATTAAGAAATACAATTATGAAATAAATAAATAAAAAATATGAATAGAAAGATATTTCTCCATCTTTTGCACCTGAGAGGCAGAGATTTTGATCACCTTCAAGTCACGATGACCTCTTCAGGCCGAGCAACGTCATGCTAGATACGCAGGGTCAAGTAACTGGACAGTGATGTACAGTTTAAACTCTCAACGTGATTTTCTTACAGGAAAGAATTATCTAACAAATAATAAATATATTTCTTACTTATAATTTATATAAATTAATATGAGAAATAACATATCATTATGTAAAATTTTTTGCGATTAATTACAAATGCAATTATTCTATCTTTTAAATATTTCATTATTTAAGTTTGTATTCTTTACAACAAAAATAAATTTTTCAACAATATACATAGTCGTTTTACATAATCTAAATTTAGAAGCTTTTCTTGAAAAGTCTGATTTAATGTCAGTTTCTTTCGTACGTTTTCAAGTGTCAGTGTTGTTCAAGTTTCAAATTAGATTAAGAAATAGAATTTGTATGAAATTAAATGAAGATTGAAGCTTTTGTTGACTTGCACTTCTAAAGTATGCATTTCTGAAGTTGAATTGGATTCGTGCAAATTCTATCAATGGGTTATAAATTGTAAAACTCGAAAACGCGATATTTCTATTCATTGAAATAAATGACATTATTTTTTTTCTTTGGCTAGTAGAATCTATAGCACTCAAAAACATCTACGTAAATAATATATCATAAATATATGGAGATAATGAAAACTTTCTATTTTATTTAATTTTTGGCAGAATACAAATTAATAATTAACATAATAATTTTATGTTTTCAATATGAATTGTTAAGAGCATGTGTGTTATTTGATGAGTTAATAGATTTTATAATCTAATATAATTAAACATATCATTTAATTTCGTTAATTAAATTTAATAATCGTGTCGATATCTCTTATTGTTTGCACGTTTTGTTTCATTCTTTCTGTACATTTAATATCGTTTTAACAGAAGATCAATAAGAACTAATGAACGACACTTTGTCGTAAGTTTCTCTAATTGAAGTATATATTTCTAAGACCACATCGATCTCGATCACGATCTTGCGCGGGAGGCAGAGAATAAAAGGTTAAACGAGTTAACCCCATGGAACTTCGACGACCTATGTCCTTGTCCGAGTCGACTCTATATCATAAATAATCTCTTGGAGATCCAACGGGTGTCCTGGTCATGTACACATTTTCAGAATATTTCATCATTTATGCTACGCCTTTTGACATTATGCGTGTGCTTTCTGAAAATATATACATTTGAGAGTAAAATAATATTGAATTAAGAAGATAATTTTCTTTTGGCCTACCCTTTATAAAGAATATCTATGCTGAGTGCAGGACATTTGTGTTTCAAAAAAATTTTGTTCTTTTACAAAAACTTTTTGATGTTTAAACTATTGTATATATAAAACTAAATAAAAATATCACGTTTATAAATAATATTTATTAATAGAACTTTTTTCACATTAATTTATTCAAATTTTGTCAAATTTGTTATTAAAATATAATATTATAAAATATATTATTATAAAGTAAACAGTATCGTGAGAAAAAGGAATTTATAATAATTGTTATAGAGCGACTGCATAGAGAGGGAGGGAGTTTGTTAATATCTATATCACGTTTTTTAATTTTTTCAATTTTTAATAGAGAATTTTTTTAAAACTTATTAATTTTATTCTTTTATTAAATTAATTAACTCAGCCTTAATTCGAACATAAAGACAAAATAGAAACATATTAGGTGAGATTTTTCAATTAAATTATAAATAATTTCTGTAATGGACAGTAACGAGAGGTGATTCGTATGTATGTCAGTGATGCAATAATAACGCGATGAGTTCTCATAATTAATGGGCCAAGCTTTCGTCACGTATGTTTGCTCCATTCTTAGGTTCACCTAAGTCAATTGTTTTTTCTAGAGTAACGTGTCGCAATTCAGGACAGAATTATTATGTAAATATAAAGACCTTATATGGTTAATAATACTGATCAGTAATATTGAATCAGTAATATTGACAGTGTATTCATTTTAGTATTTTTTTTTATAACTTTACACAATTAGTATTGACAATATATTTACTTTAGTTTTATGTACATTATATATTGCACTGTGATATAATGTGACATGGATTCTAATAAAGAAATATTGATGCTCGAGAATTGAAATTTAATCACCGTCAGCATTCTACATCAATCTGTTTGTATTAACCACATACTATCAGTAATTTTGTCAGTATTTGTTAATACTTGACAGTATCATTGATGGTGTAAAATCACTTTAAAGGCATGCTGACATGAACTCTGACAGGATTGCTGTTTTAACAATTTATACACTTACGATTTACGGTATATAATACATATGGTTTACGAAACATTAATAAATCACTACTTACTACTGTCTAGATATCGTATGCACACAATACGAAATTTTCATTCAATCATTTTTCGTGTACTAAAGCTTCTAAGCTTATTTTTAAAAAGCACAGTATTGTTCTTTCATGTAATTTCTATTCCAGATAAGGCCGCGATATTCATAGTTCGTTCCTATTTGACCGTCTTAAATAATATCTTAAGACGCTAATGCGGATTTTTGATTGGTGAATGACATTTGAAGACTATATTTAAGAGACTTTTTTGAACATAAAAGGATCGACTATAAATAGTGACCTAAGACCTCTATTCTGTAACCTTTAATGACAGTAACAATATCGTGACAAAGACAGATGTCTTAAATTAAGAAACGTTTGAGATCTGTGATTATGAAATGAAATACTGCTGAATGAAAGGAAAGAAGGAAGCACTATGAAAGGACGTAATCAGAAGGTGAGTTTGATAACACGATTGACGAGGGAACCATAATATGTGGATCACGTTTTGCACACGATAGTTCAACAAACTAAATTCTCTTGTAGATTCATGCTTCTCTCGGTTAAAGTAACTTCAGTTTTAGAAAGTAAATGTAACGTAAAATATTTCTGATTTAATAAGAAAAAGATGTCTAAAATTTAATATTTTATACATTTTAAGAACCACATTTTTTCACGATATCGTAATACACGTTTTTATGACAGTGTGCCCCAGTTCTATTTACTCAGCCATGTTTATCCAGCCTGTTAATGTCTTTGATGCATATTACGTGGTCTTCGATGTCTCGGTACGATGACATTGCGTAAGTGGGGATTACTATGCAAGCATGCGGCTCGTAACCTTGAGAGCAAGCTACAAGAGCGAGC